ACGATTCCGCGGGGTAAGCAAAAAGACACAAATTTATGCTCGAACAAAAAAAAAACACGTTAACGATACAGTCTCGGAAATTCTGGAACAAACAGACGAGTGATGGACGAAACGGCCACCACCGCAAACGAAGAAACACATTCAACACTAAAAATTTTAACAAAAGCACTAAAAACCTCGCTTGACAATAGCGAATCGCGCCCTGTCGGTGCTCCTCACGGCCCACTATACTCCCTTGACGCGCATCCTCTCGGCTGAACTACACGGGGGCGCCACAGGTTAAGTGAAAATGTAATTGGAAAATGTAAAATTGGATGATGGAAAAACTCAAAAAGCATAAAAAGGAAAGATATAAATAGAAATTATAATTTAGATAAGCAGTGTTTCGGTCCATTCGTATACATTTCTTACCATTACCACAGTTGGACCTCGTCAGTACAACGACGACTGTGGTAACAATATATTTTTTTGTTAAGAATGAAAAATAATTGTAATGGAAAGGAATTAAGTATTGGTAATAATCTTGAATTTGGGAAATAGAAGTGAAATGAAAGTAGGAATTAAGAATTCTAAGAGGAATAAGAAAATAGATAGAGAAGAGAATTAAAAGTATAATAAAAAGTTAATTGCTTACCTGCTCATCACACGCCGTATCCATAGTATAAATCCTTTGTTTAATAATTCCACTAAATAGATAGATAGTTCTGTAATAGTAAATATATTTAAATTATACGTACAATAGGAAAACGAAATACGTAACATTATTAAAAAAGAAAGAATGTAATATTAAAGATAAGTTGGTGGATTAATTTTAATAATTAGTATACGCATGTTCCCTAAGATAAATAAAGTTGCAGCAGAATTTAATAATAATGTAAATAGTGAGCACAGAATGTAGCAAAATTATACATATACAAATATAAAGCATAAACTATAAAATATAAAAGATAATGGATATAAAATATAGTAATATAGGAAAATATTGGTGTATAAAAAATAATAATGTAGGAAAATGTAGGGGTAAATAAACGCTAAAGTAAGATTGCAGAGGGAAAATAGGAAAAATAAAGGAAAAGGGAAAGGCAGAAGAAGCTTTGTTGGTGCTGACGAACCATAAGAAGATGAACAAGAACAATGAAACAGTCCCCTCATCACTCACATTTATGTACAGGATTTTAGCGCGTAAAAATCAAGAATGATCGCCGGGAGGCGGCAGATCACCAAGTCAAACGACCTTCAGGAAACTTCTTGCCAGATCCGCGCGTGCTTTCGGATATCCCGCTTTGCTCAACATTATACAGAACACATCGGAAGGGGGATCGGGAATCGGGTCGGGGTCGAAAGATCACATCAAAAAAATTTGCTGCCTTCTCTTTTAACTTTCTGCTTTTAACTGTTTCCCTCCAAGTACTGCTTTTCCAGAATTGCCAGCCTCACGCGAGATTATGTTGGGCGAACCGTCGAAAAAGTTGTAAATATCTGCCGAATCGAAGCAAAAAAGAAGCCGTATGAAGATTCCATGTGGAGATATGAGTCGGATCCGCATGCATCGCACATACTGGCCTTCCTTTCTACGTTTGTTTTTTACACATCATTCGTGCTAGTCGAATTACTACTGGGCCAGGCCTTTTTGCTTGTGTTTGTATGCACAAGTCTGTATGGGTGTGTGTATATATGTGCATATGTTTGCGTATGCGTGTGTCTGTGTATATTTATATGCGTGTGTGAG